ATCCCAACTCTGCTACCCACACGCCGAGTACACTGCTCTCCTCCAATCAGAAGCAGGTCCTACAGTTTATTGGTTGAACTGGAGGCAGCTGTGTAGAAGCTGTTTCTCCCTTCTCAGCGCCATATTGTGGGAGAGCAGATGCATAGAATAAGTCTTAATTCCAGTAACTTAGTCTAGTCCGAGTTGCTCCCCACAAAAAGGAACTTATCTTTTTATTCTATTTTTCTAAGCTTTGTCAAGTATCCTCATATGCACAGAATTACAAAAAGGGAAAAGACAGGGATGGTATGAAAAGAGAAAAGTAGCTTCTGAGAATTCTACAAAAGTACTGGCCAGTTTATACAGATTGTAAAAATGCTAAAATATATGTAACATAATATTTAATTCCAGAAGAGCACATTGATAGTACATCTTCAGCTTTTAGTAAACCAGAGGATGTTAAGTTTGAAGTTGTTGACTATATTCACAGAAGAAATCATGTAATATGTAGTTAGGTTCTAAGATTGCCAATTATGCTGGGAAAAATGAAAAAAAAATTTAATTAAGAATGAAAACAAACATTACAAAATTCTGGCTTCCACTTGAAAAAATATTGTGGGCTTCACTAAGTCAAATTATTTTCATAGCTGCAAACTAACTTTTTTTTAAATTAAGGGTTTCTATCTCTGTTGATTATACTTATTATAAAAGGCTAGTACAGTACATATAAAGTCATTAACTTTTTTGTAAACTGTAAGTGGATCTGATCAATGGGAAGTTGGACCTATATTCTAAGATTAACATTTGACAGAAACTAGCAGAACAAACCACTAAGAAGCTGGTAGATGAAAGAACCGCTTCTACACATTAAGTCTTGCTCCCAAACTTCTAGTCTCCAGACATTTGTTTCAAGTAATCACGCTAATATCGTATCATATTTGTACAAAGTAGATGAAGAAAAGATGGAAAACAAAAACAGTAGCTATAGTGCTTAATTATCCCAAAGGGTTTTCAAATCCATTCAACTGCTATTTACTAAGCACCTATTACAATATGGAGTACTACGCTTAGCACAAGAATCCTGCCTATTAAACAGCTCCAAAAGTAGGAAGGAACCACAATATGACATGTAGATGTCCCCTTTCTACAGGTTTAGATGCTGCATATTGTAATTGTGTATTTTTTTTTTTTTTGATAGGCAGAGTGGACAGTGAGAGAGAGAGAGACAGAGAGAAAGATCTTCCTTTGCCGTTGGTTCACCCTCTAATGGCTGCTGTGGCCGGCACACCGCGCTGATTCGAAGCCAGGAGCCAGGTGCTTCTCCTGGTCTCCCATGGGGTGCAGGGCCCAAGGACTTGGGCCATCCTCCACTGCACTCCCGGGCCACAGCAGAGAGCTGGTCTGGAAGAGGGGCAACCAGGACAGAATCCGGCACCCCAACCGGGACTGGAACCCGGTGTGCCAGCGCCGCAGCCAGAGGATTAGCCTAGTGAGCCGTGGCGCTGGCCTAATTGTGTATTCCATGATTAACATCTACCTCTATTATCCATCAATGACTACCAGCTTCTTTAAAAAGAAATGTAGGAAAGTACTTTCCCTGTTTACAGCAAAATAGAATGACATCATTTGCTTATTTAACAATTAAAATTTACATAAGGAAAGCACAATTTCCTGGCAGCTAAGTCCTTATTTCTGAAAATGTTCATTAGTTCTTTCTAGGTCTAAAATTCTATGAATTATCAAAGGATTAAAGAATAATTGAATCTGTTTAGATGTGAAATAAGTACAAAAAAGTCAGAATAAGGTTTACCCAGTTGGAAATACATAATCTATTAAAGTGTCTATCTAAAAAATGGTATTGAATAAGAAAAATAGACAAATTATAGTGATCATTAACATTTTCAAATTTAAGTTTGTAGAAGACAAAATTCCGACTTCCAAACAATTATTATTAGCAACTACTCAGCCATCCTAATTTTGTCCGCTCTCTGGGTAATGTTTTATTTTATTTTCTTTGCCTATTTTTTAGCTAGAGCTAAAGAATGAATAGAAAGAACAGCTCTACATAGGAGAGTTGTAATTTATCAGTTATTAAGAGGAGACACTAACTGAAAGCACTGAAAATTTAAAAGCGGGGCAGTTTTCCGTCTCCTGAATTAGGACTTCCCTGTGTGAATTAACAATATTAACACTGAAGTAAGAATTTTTTTGGTAAGCTTTCACAGTAATTTACAATATTTCATGATATATAGCAACAAGGAGAAGTTATTAAATATTTCATTTTTTTAACTAGGCTTTAGAGATTACTCCATCTCTTGATTTTCCTCTAAGTGCACTGGCTTCTCTCCTCTTACCCTACTCCACAAATGCCTTCAGCCTTTGGGCCTTTTCCCAGTCCACTCACATTTCCGGTGGATCATGTAGTGCCACAGCTTTAAGCCCTAGCAGTACACCTGATTCTAACTTTATCTCTCTGTACCCAACCTCTCTCCTGAACACTGGACTTGTTTATACTATTTATTCTCCATCCCTACTGAATGCCTAAGAGCAATCTCATTCAAATAGCTACAAAAAAAATTTAAATATCTTGGAATAAACTTAACCAAAGATGTCAAAGATCTCTGAGGGAAATTACAAAACATTAAAGAAAGAAATAGAAGAAGACAAAAAAAAAAGTGGAAAAATCTTTCATGGATTAGAAGAATCAACATCTTCAAAATGTCCATACTACCAAAAGCAATCTATAGATTCAATGCGATCCCAATCAAAATATCAACAACATTCTTCTCAGATGTAGAAAAAATTAAGCTAAAATTCATATGGAAACACAAGAGACCCCAAATAGCTAAGCAATCTAAAACAATAAAAACAAAGCTAGAGGCATCACAACAACAGACCTCAAGAAATACCACAGGGCAATTATAATCAAAACAGCCTGGCACTGCCACAAAAACAGATGTGTAGACCAATGGAACAGAATAGAAACCCCAGAAATTAATTCACACATCTACAATCAACTTATTTTTGACAAAGGAGCAAAAATCAACCCCTGGAGCCAAGACAGTCTCTTCAACAACTGGTGCTGGGAAAACTGAATCTCTGTATGCAGAAGCATGAAACAAGAACCCTACCTTACGCCTTCCACAAAAACCCACTCAAAATGGATCAGAGACCTTAATCTATGATGTGATACCATCAAATACTAGAGAACATTAGGGAAACCCTACAAGACATTGGCATAGGGAAAGACTTTTTGGAAAAGATCCCAGAAGCACAGGCAATCAAAGCCAAAATTAACAAGTGGGATTACATCAAGCTGAGAAGCTTCTGCACTGCAAAATAAACACTCAAAGTGAAGAGGCAACCAACAGAATGGGAGAAAATATTAGCAAACTATGAAGTGGACAAAGGATTAACTTCCAGAATCTATAAAGAGTTCAAGAAATTAAATAACCACAAAACAAACAACCTAGTCAAGAAATGGGCAAACATTTTTCAAGAGAAGAAATTCACATGGTCAATAGACACATGAAAAAATGCTAAGGATTACTAGCCATTAGGGAAATGCAAATCAAAACCACAATGAGGTTTCACCTCACCCTTGTTAGAATGGCCCTCATACAGAAATCAATAACAATTGTTGGTAAGGATGTGGGAAGAAGGGTACCTCAACCCAATGTTGGGGGGAATATAAACTGGTACAACCACTGTGGAAGGCAATATAGAGATATCTCAGAAAGCTGAATATAGACCTACTGAATAATCTAGCCATCCCACTCCTGAGAATTTTTCCAAAGGAAATGAAATTTGCATATGAAAGAATGATCTGTACCCCTATGTTCATTTCAACTCAATTTACAATAGCTAAGATATGGATGGAATCAACCCAGATGTCCATAAACTGAGGACTGGATAAAGAAATTAGGGCATGTATACACTATGGAATACTACACAGTGGTAAAAAAAAATGAAATTCCTTCATTTGCAAGAAAATGAACAATTTTTTTTCTAGTTTGTCTGTTTGGTTTTGTTTCTTTTTTCTTCATGCTAGCTGGTGAACTCTCTGTTTAGTGTAGGGTTAATTTTATGAGTATAAAAATTAACTGAAAAATTGATCTCTGTAAACAATTAGAATAGGAAAGAAAGAGGGAGGAGGAAGAAGGAGGGGAATGTGGGTGGGAGGGAGGTGAGGGGGAGAATCATCATGTTCCCAAATCTGTATATATTAAATACTTGAAGTTGTATTCATTAAACAAAATATATATACATTATATATATACATACATATATTTAAAATGGTATAGTGAAGTATGATATTTACTCTATTACCAAATGAAGAAAAAGGAATACTAAAAATGATTTTAAAACTTAAAAATTAATATACACTCTTAAAATCACAATCTTGAATTATAACTGTTTACCTATATATAATATGTTATTATATATTATATTATATGTATAAATAACAATATATAATATTAAGTATATATAATACCACTATATATTATATAAAGTCACTCATGTCCCACATGGGAGTGCCTGAGCTCAATTCCTATCTCTAGCTTCTGACTCCAGTTCCCTGGTAACACAGGCCCTGGGAGGCAAAGGTAATGGTTCACATAATTGAGTTCCTGCTACCCACATAAATGATTGCATTCCCAGCTCCTGGCTGGGGCCATGGTCCAGACCTGGCCTTTGCAAGCATTTGAGGAATGAATTAACAGATAAGATTTTTCTCTCTCTGTCTTGTCACTTTGACTCTCAAATTAAAACATTAATAAAGATTTGTTCCTTTCCACTGATCTTTGATGTTGTGACAATATCTATTTGTTCTATCAAGTGAAGACAGTATGACAATTTTATTTCTTAATTCAGGTTTAGAACAAATTAGGAAGCTTACAATTCTTTAATATGAAGTAAACATATTAACAGATGAAAAATGAAAGCTAAGCTATACACACTTTATGGCATTAACTAGTTTCATGGGAATCTGACATGGAAAATCGTAAAAATATACTTACTTTTTTCATCAGCTTTGTCTTTTATTGCTATAGTGTCATTACTCAGAGACACAGTCTGTGCATTCAGAATATCTGTTCTCATTCCAGGGAATTTTGGAGAAGAAATGAAGCGCCCTTCATAAGAATATAAATAGATACCACCACCATCTACAAGAAGAAAATGTCTAAAAAATAAAAATATATTCTTAAATATAAGTATACTATATTTTCTTTTATATATTAGAAAGCAGTTTATCCTTTGGAAACATCTAGATTCAACAAGTAAAATAAGTACACAGATATATAAAAAAATAAAGTGTTAAAAAAAAACCTGAAAGTCAATATTGTTGCTTTGGTTTGTTTCCTGGGTTTCTATCCATTAAAATGACAACAATGTCCATAATTGTCACCCTAAATACTAAAATTTTGAGTTCTTACACATTACACCTACAATTGATTTCCTTTCCTTAAGAAGAATCTCTATACAAAGGGAATCAGAAAATCTTATAATTTACAATTCTGTGATTTGGTTCCAGACGCTATGTTTTATGAAACAGTATTAATACATATTTCATAAGGATTATGTTAAAGATAATTAAAGATTAAATACCAAAGACTAAAACAGTATAAAAAAAACTTGACATCAGTGCCAGAATTTATTAAAATAAGATGCTTCTGTCTTTAAAACCATGTGGTGATGATCAGCATATAGTCATACTTAAAAACTCTTAAATTTTTTGCAGCAGAGTCTCAAGTTCATTTGTTATGTTGACAGCTATATTCCAGGTATAGGTTTTGGTGTAGTCATTTTTTATTAACTAAAAACAAATATTTTATGGCTACTATATTTCTCCTGTTTTAAAGAATACTTATAGTATATATACATCTCTGTATGTCTACCCTACTTATCCTTAGTATAACTTCTTTTTTTAATTTTTTAAAATTTTATTTATTTATTTATTTATTTATTTTTTGACAGGCAGAGTGGACAGTGAGAGAGAGACAGAGAGAAAGGTCTTGCTTTGCCGTTGGTTCACCCTCCAATGGCCGCCACGGCCAGCAAGCTGCAGCCGGCGCACTGCGCTGATCCGAAGGCAGGAGCCAGGTGCTTCTCCTGGTCTCCCATGGGGTGCAGGGCCCAAGCACTTGGGCCATCCTCCACTGCACTCCCTGGCCACAGCAGAGAGCTGTGGGACAACCGGGACAGAATCCGGCGCCCCGACCGGGACTAGAACCGGTGTGCCAGCGCCGCAAGGCAGAGGATTAGCCTAGTGAGCCGTGGTGCCGGCCAGTATAACTTCTAAAAGTGCAATTACTGGATCAAGGAGCACACAATTGAAAATATTTAACATATATTGTCAAACTGCCTTTTGAATGGTTGTGTTGTTTTATACAGACACTACAGCTGTACTGGCATGCCTGTTTCCTCAATGCTGAAAACATTACTACTTTTCAAAATTTTATGTTCCAGGTTTTAATATTCCTTGTTTCAGAAATTGCTAATTTTTCTTTTGTCTTGGAAATAAAAGGGAAATAAGCAAACACTAAGACCAATCAAAAGTTAGTATTTAGGGGCCAGCACTGTGGCGTAGCAGATAAAGCTGCCGCCTGCAGCACTGGCATCCAAATGGGTGCCGGTTCAAGTCTGGGCTGCTCCACTTCTGATCCAGCTCCCTGCTAATGTGCCTGGGGAAACAGTGGAAGACAGCCTAAGTTCTTGGGCCCTGCTCCTTTGTGGGAGACCCGGAAGAAACTCCCGGCTCCTGGCTTCAGATTGTCTCAGCTCTGGCCATTGTGGCCATTTGGGGAGTGAACCAATAGATGGAAGGCCTCTCTCTCTCTCTCTCCCTCCCTCCAATTCTCCCTCTCTCCCTCTCTGTAACTCTGCCTCTCAAATAAATAAATAAATCTTTTTTTTTTTTTAAAGTTAGTATTTAATGAATACCTAATGTACACAGTTCAATTAAATTCATACTTGAGGATTGGGAGGTAGTTTATTAATTGAAGGGTTTGGGCATGACACATTAATGTATGGCCATACACATTTGTATATGAAAACAATATTTGCCAATCTTGACAAAGTGAAACATCATATTAGTTTTTATTGTTTGTCACAACACTAAAAGCATTTTCTTTCTGAAACAAGCACTATAGCCTTCAACCTTCTTGTGAATAAATACCTTATATTTCTTTTTTTATATTTATATTTTATTTTATTTAATGAACATAAATTTCCAAAGTACAGCTTATGGATTCCAATAGCTTTCCCCTCCCATAACTTCCCTCCCACCCACAACACTCCCCTCTCCCACTCCCTCTCCCCTTCCATTCACATCGATTAATTTTCAATTATCTTTATATACAGAAGATCAATTTAGCATATATGAAGTAAAGATTTCAACAGTTTGCACCCACACAGAAACACGAAGTGTAAAATACTATTTGAGTACTAGTTATAGCATTAATTAAACACCTAAGAGTAATTGTTTATTAACTACAGAGTTCAACCAATAGTTTTAAGTAGAACATAAAAAATACTAAAAGGGTAAAGTATTAAGTTCTTTTTTTTTTCTTTTTTCTTTTTTTTGTTTGTTATATAGTTTTTTTTATTTAATAAATGTGAATTTACAAAGTGCAACTTTTGTATTGTTGTGACGTCCCCCACCAACCTCCCTCCCTCCCGTGGCCCTCCCCTCTCCCACTCCCTCTCCCATCCCGCCCTTCATCACGTTTCATTTTCAATTACCTTCATATACTGAAGATCAACTTAGTATATACTAAGCAAGGATTTCAACAGGCTGCACTCACACAACCACACAAGGTATAGGGTATTGTTAGACTAGTAGTGTTGTTTTTAAGTTTCATAGTAGAACACATTAAGGACAGAGATCCTACGTGGGAAGTATGTACCCAGTGACTCCCGTTGTTGATTTAACAATTGGCACTCTTATTTATGACATCAGCAATCACCCGAGACTCTTGATATGAGCTGTCTAGGCTATGGAAGCCCCTTGAGTTCACCGACTCTGAACTTGTTTAGTCTAGGCCGTATCACAGTGGAGGTTTCTTCCTCCCTTCAGAGAAAGGCGCCTCTCTCCTTGATGACCTGTTCCTTCTGCTGTGGTCTTGTTCACCAGGATCTTTCATTTAGATTGTTTTTGCCACCGTGTCATGGCTTTCCATGCCTGTGAGACTCTCATGGACCTTTTAGCCAGATCCGAATGTCCCAAGGGTTGATTCTGAGGCAGGAGTGCTGCCATTCTATGAGTCTGCTGTGTGTCCTGTTTCCCCAGCAGGATCATTCTCTCCCTTTTAATTCTATCATTCATTATTTGCTTACACTGGCCTTATTTGTGAAATCTCATTGACACATACCCTATCTTTTTGATCAGTTTTTCAACAAGCATCTCTAACTGTGTAAACAAGACCAGTGAAAAACACTAGCTAAAATAATCCTTAATTCCTTAATTATTTATGCCATTTAACATGTCTTTACTAAGACATACTTAATAAATATATTGATGAATAATGTATAAATAAGGAAATTTCTTTGGAATAATTGGAGTAAAAAGAATTTCAGAAATATGGTTTTGTGGATAGCTGACATCCTTCCTGATGAGTGGCAAAAAGAATTTTGTTTCAAAAATATGACACAACTAAATAAATAAGTCACGCATATATCCATTTCAGTAAATAGATTCAACTTTGACATAACATTTTCTTGATCACTCAAGATCATTAATATGATAATCACACTCTTCAGCAACTATATAACTGAAGGCTTTGATATTCATGAGAATCTGTTGGTGCTTAGAATAACTATACTACTCAGCTACACAGTTCTGTGCTTTTGGCTTTCTCTGTGCTCCTTTGCCAGGCAGTCACTTTCCTTCTTGTCACTGTGCCAGCCTCTAACAATCATCCTTCACCATCACTCTTCTGATTTGCTATTTATAAAAAGCTGTGGGCTAGAAAACCTGATGAACAACACTATTAAGAGCTGCTTAGGTGATGAGTAAAGTGATAAGGAATAGAAGTACGTGGTTTTAGTGTAAAGGTTTTATGGGTAGCTATTTCAGGTAAATGTCGATTATATTTCCATACTGTACTCCAGGTTTTACTGGACTGAAGCTTTGTAAGTCTGACCTCTGATTCAAATTGGATATCACTGTACTTGATTCATTATACTTATTAAGACTGATAGAGCCGGCGCCGTGGCTCAATAGGCTAATCCTCCACCTTGCGGCGCCGGCACACCGGGTTCTAGTCCCGGTTGGGGCGCCGGATTCTGTCCCGGTTGCCCCTCTTCCAGGCCAGCTCTCTGCTGTGGCCCGGGAGTGCAGTGGAGGATGGCCCAGGTGCTTGGGCCCTGCACCCCATGGGAGACCAGGAAAAGCACCTGGCTCCTGGCTCCTGCCAGGATCAGCGCGGTGCGCCGGCTGCAGCGGCGGCCATTGGAGGGTGAACCAGCGGCAAAAGGAAGACCTTTCTCTCTCTGTCTCTCTCACTGTCCACTCTGCCTGTCAAAAAAAAAAAAAAAGACTGATAGAAAGTTTTCAAGTAAAAGTGTGGGTTCCTGAGTGATAGTTGTTCCTAATTTACTCTCGTTAATAGGCCTGTTTCTTGGTAGAAAACACCATTTTATTAGGTAACTTCAGATTATAAACTAGTGGTGGCTCATGAAAACAAATAAGTTTATCCTCATCATTTTAAATAAATAAATACCTTTAAAATTTCTCATCTTTAATTTTTAACATTGCAGACATGAGACATATAACTCACATATAATCCTTGATAACTTTTTAAGACAGTAAAAAATTGAGACCAAAAAGTTTTAGAACCTCTGACCTAAGAGTTTATTTACTTTTTCCTCTGAAAATTAATAGAAACAGATAGATTCTTCTTTCTGCAAAAGGATGCTTTAAAGACTGCCTACCTGCTACTTGAGATATTTTAAAACCCCAAATTCAAAAGCTAAACATCATAAACAAATTACCTTTCTGCCTGCAGAATTAAACTAACAGTTCCTTCTTTGAGGTCAAATATAAGCGGTGTATTCCAGTTCTTTGTACTAAAAAACAAACAAAATGGATATTGATATTTAAAACACAAAAGTTTTAAACAAGTAGATAAGTACTCATTTTACATAAAGTGACTTTAGGCTCACAGTTATAGATATATTTCTGTTACAGCTTCTGGCTTACTGTTTTGAAAATATCACTTACATGCTTGTATCCTTGATTAGAAAGTAAACACTCTGTGTCTCTAACAATCAGCACATAGTGGACATTCAACAAATATTGATTGTAGGTATTACAGTATGTAAATTGAGGAAGCCAGTTCTGCTATTTATTAACTCTGAGTTTGGACCAGTCATCTAATGTTTCTCATCTGACAAACAGTAACAGTACGGCTGGACAGAGCTGGATTAGAAATATGGTTTTACCACCTCCTAGCCTTGTGAGCTAATAAACTTAACTTCCTAAGCATTAGTTTCTTTATTTGTAAAGTATGGACAATGATGACTTACATAAGTATATGGCAAACTGTCTGCTATATAGCAGGAACTGAATAAACAGAAACTATAATAATATTAACATAATAAATATGACTATTTTCCTACAGGCCTACCAATGTTAATATTGAGTTGAAACAAAAAAAAATTTCTGTGAAACATTCTATAAATAGATACTATATTTTTATATATTGTTTATATAAGATATTATATAAATATAAGATATGTCCATGCTTATTGAGTAAATGGATAAACAAATAACTTTATTTTTATAAGTTATCACCTAATGATATCAATTCTACCGATTCAAACATTATGTCATTCCACTATAACTAGTAGAATAAATCTCATTTAGGACAGTTGACAATGAGAGCCCCATAAACTAAGAAACTCTAAGCTGAAGAGGATAATTCAAAATGAACGTGGAAAATGGAATTAAGAGATAAATTTATTTCAAAGAAAAAAATCTAAAGCCATGCATAATTTTTTCATTAAAATGTTCATAGAAAATGTGTACTATGAAAAAACTATGCACAAATTTCAAAATTTTTTGCATCAAATTAAACATATTTTAATTCAATTTTCAAGAACTTTTTGAAGTACCTCCATAGTTACCTCAACCTGATTAAAATTAATTATTCAAATACCTATTGCTTCAAGTGACTGAGATTTTCTCATGTTCCATAATCCCTTTCCCATATCTCAACTGCTCAACTTCATGTCTTTCTTGATTCTCCCTCAGTGTTTCACTGTTCCTTTTTCCCTTTCATCTAGGGAAAAAAAAATTCATATAATGTTGAGCTTCTTGTTTCTTTACACTCTGCCTCTCTTATTTTGTTACTCCAATTTGGCTATTTTTCCAAGTTGCAGTTTCTTGATTAGCACCAGATTAACCCACAGAAAGTGGAAAATTTTTCCTTAAAGATTTATTTATTTTTTAAAGATTTATTTATTTACTCCACAGAGACAAGGAGAAACAGAGAGGGATCATCTATCTGCTGGTTCACTCATCAAATGGCCACAATAACCTGGGCTGGGCGAGGCTGAAGCCAGGAGCCAAGAGCTTCTTCCACATCTCTCATGTGGGTGGCAAAGGCCCAAGCACTTGGGCCATCCTCCACTGCTTTCCCAGGCACATTAGCAGAGAGCTGGATTGGAAGTGGAGCAATCAGGACTCGAACCAGTGCCCATGAGATGCCGGTGCTGCAAGCTGCAGCTTTAACCTGCTGAGCCACAGCATCGGCCCAGGAATTTTTAATATATAGTTGTAGCATTTAGTTTGATTGAAAATCTTCCTGGCATGTATTACTGGGCTTTAGGATTATAAGATAATCCTACGCTTAATGTGTTTTAATTCATTAATTTATTAAAAGCTATTTATTAAGTACCCACTATATATTGAGTACCATGCTATGTATTGGATATGTAGTGTATAATAAGATACACTTAGTCTCTATCTTCAATATGATATTCAATGATTAAACTATAACCACGTAATGATATAAATATAAGCACAAAATTTTTTGAAACCCTTAACTATTAACAACACTTGAAAGTAGCATAGTGGTTATTTGAGTTTTCTAGATAGTTGGGAAGTCAACTAGTCATATGGTAAAGCCAGCTTATACTAGTTGTTAAATTTTCAAGAATTGTATAAGCAAACTCTTAAAGCCATTATCAAAAATGAAATCACGGCCGGCGCCACAGCTCACTAGGCTAATCCTCTACCTTGCGGTGCCGGCACACCGGGTTCTAGTCCCGGTCGGGGTGCCGGATTCTGTTCCGGTTGCCCCTCTTCCAGGCCAGCTCTCTGCTGTGGCCAGGGAGTGCAGTGGAGGATGGCCCAAGTATTTGGGCCCTGCATCCCATGGGAGACCAGGACAAGTACCTGGCTCCTGCCATTGGATCAGCGCGGTGTGCCAGCCGCAGCACGCCAGCCGCTGCGGCCATTGGAGGGTGAACCAACGGCAAAGGAAGAACTTTTTCTCTGTCTCTCACTGTCCACTCTGCCTGTCAAAAAATAAAAATAAAAAAAATGAAATCATGTAAACTTAAAAGGAAATTATACCTAAAACAAAGATAATACTCATTAGTCATTACTTCCAGACTATTTTATTATATTTTACTATTACTTATGCATCTGATATTATTTATATCTGTGGTATCTAATACAAGTACAATACTACATAATGGTTTGCTTTTATATATCTCCTTTCAACTCTGCTCACAACAAAACCACATTAGTATCTTGAAAGTGGTCATGGTAAAAGTATTTCTATCATGAAAATCAGTAAAGATTGCCAACATGTTTGTTTGTTTGTTGTTTGTTTCCAGAAAGCCAGTTATACAACATTTACCAGCCCTTTAAAATACCAAGCACGTTTTTATTTTTGTTTTAATTTTAGGTGCAAATTTCCTGAATGTATTGAGTCATCCCCTGCATTCTTTTTTTTTAATCCCTTGATTTATAATACAGGGTATACTGGGTATATTGAGTATATATTCTTTTATCATTTGTGAACAACTTTGATCATCAATATGAGTATCCATGATTATTCTGGGCTATGATATTAAGCTAAAATATCTCCCTGTGTCCCTGTGTGAATATCTTTCAGTCATTGTCAGGCTGCTAAGTGACTCTTAAGGTGGATGGGTGATTCCAATTCCTAAACTCTGCATTTTAAAATCAAATTATACTAAATTCCTTATATGAGTAAACTAAAAGTAAACACTAGGGGCTAGCTTTCTACACAGCAGGTTGAGCCGCTGCCTATGATACCAGCATTTCATATTGGAGCTCTGGTTCAAGACCAGCAACTCCACATCCAATCCAGCTCCCTGCTAATGCACCTGGGAAAGCAATGGAAGATGGCACAAGTACTTGGGCCCTGGCTATCCACATGGGAGACCTGGGTGGAGCTGCAGGCTCCGGACTTCACCTGGCCCTCTCCCTGCAGTTGCAGCCCTAGGGGGAGTGAACCAGTGGATTGTAGGTCTCTTATCTTTCTCTGTCAGTCCCTCTCTCTCCCTGTCATTCTGCCTTTCAAACAAGTAAAATACATATTTTTTTAAAAACTAAATACCATGTCAGATAAGGTATCTCCTATTATAAAAGTGATTATTAACCTTTGAAGAACAAACTTTAACAGATCTATTTTCATGGTTCATAGCTCAGTTTTTCTTACTTCCTTGTTTTAGGTAAGATTAGGATAGATGAGGTTTTGAGAAAGTTAATTTTAAACCAAACCATGTTGATGTGAAAACTTGAAATTCTTCATCACAGACAAAACTCTGTATTCTTAAGAAATGTTAAGATGCTTACGAGAACACGTAACATTGAAGGGATGTTGAAACAACTAAGTGTGCATAGTTCAAAGATGCTTTAATGACTCTGTCTCGGAATTCCAGTAAGTCCACGGCATCGTTAAGTACATTACGAACCTAAACAAGGAAAAATGAAAATACCAACCAACACCATTAAAACACATCAAAATTTTAATTAGGTAAGTCAGCAAGATTATAAAACAAAAAATTCAATGCATTCTTGATTACCTAATTATATAAAAGACAAGAATTCAAAGGAAATCAGCCATAAGGTGGAATAGTTGGGTGTGTAAATTAACCAACAAAGCACAGATACAGAAGATTTCTTAGAAATAAGTCAAAAAAGGCCTAGAAAGATGTCCAATCTGCAATCCAAACTGAATGAGTAGCAGTGGAGTGATAATGTGAAAAACACTCTAACTCTGAGGGATGGTCAAAGAACGGTATTATATTAAGATTGGAAAGAGAATATACAGTTTCTGCTCAAAACAGTAAGGATATCTCTTTTTAGGGTAGATTTTACTTTAAAATTGAAGTTCTACAAAAGGAGACATAATTGCTTTAAAAATCAAAAATAGATTAGGAGGTATCAATTGCATAGTGAAGAAAGAAGCCAATTGCATAGTGAGGAAATCAAGCTGCATAAAAGTACATCCATATGCAAAAAAAAAAAAAAACCCAGAGATAATACATAAGAACGTTAAATATCATCCAACAAAGGGATATTTGCTTATGATAGTCAAGTTGTTGTAAAAGTTTATAACTGAGTAGTTTGCAAGGATTTTAACACTTGGCATTGCTGGCCAGAAATCTTAAATTTGACGGACAAACTGCAGCAAGTCAAGAAAAATAATGGACAAGTTGAATGTACTTAATCTCTTTCTGGTCAATTCCAGAATGGTTAAGTCTGTATCCTAAGAGATGGAAAATAGAAAAAAAGAATGTAATTTTACCTATGTTAGTATTTATTTAAATTCTCTACAAAATGGTATCATTTTTCTAAATACAACATGGCAATTATCAATATAGTGTTAATGAAAAATGAAAGGGCATGGAAAGATAGGAAGAAAAATCAAACTTCTTACAAATACTTCTTTGAAGAATTTACAACTATCAGGCATTGCTATGATTTGAATATTTGCGTCCCTCAAAATTTTTTTAAATGTTTATTTATTTATTTTCATTTATGAGAGAGACAGAGCAAGAGAGAAAGGAGAGAGATCTTCCATTCACTGTTTCACTCTCTAAATCCCAAATGCCCAAAATAGCCAAGGCTAGGCCAGGTCAAAGCCAGGAACCTAGAATTCCATCATGGCATCTCACATGAGTGGCTGGGACCCAAGAACTTGAGCCAACATCTATTGCCTCTGGATGCTTTAGCAGAAAGATGGATCAGGGCAATCTGATATGGGATGTGGGCATCCTAAGCAGTGGCATAATCTGTGCCACAATGCCCACTCTTCCCCTTCAAAATTTGCATGTTAAAATCTAACCATCAATGTGATGGCATTAGCAGGTGGGGGTCTTTGGGGGTGACTATGTCATGAGGGCAGGGCCCTCATGAATGGGATTGTGCCCTTCTAAAAGCGGTGTCAGGGAGCTGCCTTGCTCCTTCCACCAAGTGAGGACACAGCAAAAAGACATCTATGAATCAGAAAGTGGGCTCTCACCAGACACCAAATCTGCACTTGAACTTCCCAGCCCCCAGAAGTGTGGGAAATAAATATCTACTGTTTTTAAGCTAGAAAGTTTATGAAATTTTGTCATAGCATCCCAAACAAAGACAGGTATATTTTTAATATCTATTCCCCAACTCTTATCCTCACCAAAATATTAATGCTATGACAAGAGGGATCAAAATTATAGGCATATATAGTCTTTAACACAGCAATCTCATTTCTAGAATTCCATCCCAAAGATGGAATTCTACAAAATAACATATATACAGGCTGTTTACCAGAGCACGACTGGTAGCAGTAAAAGACTGGAAAACAGCCCAAACATCTATCAATAGGGGATAGATTGAATAAACTATAGTATATTCACACAGGGCACTACTACACAGCTGCAAAAATGAATGAGGGAGATCTATGGAATGTTCTCCAGGGCATGCTGTAGCTTACAAAGATACAGAACATCATATGTAGTATGACATCTGTGATTGAAGAAACAGAAGAAAATGAATTTGCTTATATTAAAAATATTATTTCCTTAAAATATTTATTTTTTTTTGAAAGAGTTACAGAGACAGAGAAATGGAAATCTTTCATCCACTGGTTCCATCCACTCTTCAGATGGCCACAACGGCCAGGGTTGGGGTTGGCCTAAGCTAGGTGACAGGAACTTCATCCTCATATCCCACATGAGTGGCAGGGCCCAAACTCTTGGACCATCTTCCATTCTTTTTCCCAGGCCATCAGCAGAGAGCTAGAATGGAAATGAAGCAGCTAGGACACAAACTTGCAACCACATGGGACGCCAGCATCACAAACAAGGGCTTTACCCACCATGCCTCAACGCTGGCCCCCCAAAAAGAAATCTTAAACAGCATTCAGTGACATATTATTAGAATACTATTTTGATGTCATTTTAATACTACATTTAGGACATACAAGAGTACTTTAAGAAGTATGTGGAAAAGTGGAATTAAAAGATAACAGTATTTTAATTTTTGAATGTTTCCTAACAGGTATTTTTTTCATGAAGACTGCACACATATGGATTTCAATTTTTCATGTGTCAACTCTCCTTTTAATTCCATTTCCCACAAAATCTTTGAAGTATCCTCAAATACTGAAAATTACAGACCAATCTCCCTGATGAACATAGATGCAAAAATCCTCAATAAAATTCTCGCCAATAGAATGCAACAACACATCAGAAAGATCATCCACCCAGACCAAGTGGGATTTATCCCTGGTATGCAGGGGTGGTTTAATGTGCGCAAATCAATCAATGTGATACACCACATTAACAAACTGCAGAAGAAAAACCATATGATTATCTCAATAGATGCAGAGAAAGCATTCAATAGAATACAACACTCTTTCATGATGAAAACTCTAAGCAAACTGGGTATAGAAGGAACATTCCTCAATATAATCAAAGCATTTTAATACATTTTAACCCATGACAGTTATTCTAGTTAATGCTCAAGTTGTTGCATCTATGGTTAATGGGCTTATATTCTTTTGACATGATCTCAATAGATTCCTTGCTTTCTGGTGTGATAAGATATTCCAGATTTCCTTTGTACATTTCCTATCCAGACCTGGAACCAGCCATCAATCCAAGAAGAGAGGGAGAAGATGTACAATTTCGGACAAGCTCAAGCTGACTTGCCCCAAATGGTAGAGGAATGCCAGGGGATTCCAATTCAATCCCATCAAGGTGGCATGTACCAATGCCATCTCACTAGTTCAAGTGATCAATTTCTGTTCACAATTGATCATAATGAAAGGACCAAGAGTCAAAGGGATCACATAAACAAGACTAGTGTCTGCTAATACTAACTGATAGAATTAAAAAGGGAGAGAACGATCCAACATGGGAAGCAGGATACACAGCAGACACATAGAAGGGCTGATGTCCTAAACAGCACTCTGGCCTCAGAATCAGCCCTTAAGGCATTCGGAAATGGCTGAAGAGCCCATGAGAGTATTACAGGCATGGAAAGCCAAGACACCCTGGCAAACAAACAAACAAACAAACAAACCTAAATGAAAGATCTCTGCAAATGAGATCCCAGTGGAAAGAACGGACCATCAAAGAAGGAGGTACCTTTCTCTGAAGGGAGGAGAGAACTTCCACTTTGACTGTGACCTTGTCTAAATAAGATCAGAGCCAGCGAACTCAGAAGACTTCCACAGCCTTGGCAACTCATGACAAGAGCCTAGGAGATTACTGATGCCATAAACATGAGTGTCAATTGTTAAAGTCAACAACAGGAGTCACTGTGCACTTACTCCTCATGTAGGATCTCTGTCCTTAATGTGTTGTTCAATGTGAATTAATGCTATAACTAGTACTGAAACAGTATTTTACACTTTGTGTTTCTGTGTGGGTGCAAACTGTTGAAATCTTTACTTAATAGATACTAAATTGATCTTCTGTATATAAAGAGAATTGAAAATGCATCTTGATGTGAATGGAATGGGAGAGGGAGTGGGAGATGGGAGGGTTGCAGGTGGGAGGGAAGTTATGGGGGGAAAAGCCATTGTAATCCATAAGCTGTACTTTGGAAATTTATATTTATTAAATAAAGCTTAAAAATGTATTAAAATGTTCAAATCCACAAGTTTATAATGATGTCAATACAAAAGAAATTCATTGAGCATGCTAGGATACCTGCTCATTTGAAAACTGGCAAATAATTCAGCATTTGTCTCACCTCAGGGTGAGATGAGACAAAGTCATATATAGAAGAATTCCAGTTAATAAATAGAGAAAGAATGACAGAATTACCAATATTACCACCTTGCAACCCCCAATAAAAAACAGACCTAGATGACTATCATCAGTGGCTGCTAAAAACAATAAAGTAAAAAACCTAATGGGAAACTATATGATAGATGAATCAGGCTTACAGTACCTTAGCACAATGTTTAATCTTAACAGCATAAAAAAGAGAGACAAACAGGAATATGTGTGTCCTGACGCAATGCAGTAGGAAGTACACAGCATCACTTATGTTCTTTACATTTAGTTACCACAACACTAAAACCTTATCCTCTAAATCTGCCAACCAGCTACCTGTATTGAATTTCTTTCAAGTCTATTTCGTTCATTTGAAATGCAGAACAACAGAGACAGCAACAGTGACAAAGGCAGAGACAGAGAGGTCTTCCATTGCTTCATTCCTTCAAATATCTGCAACATCCAGGGTTGGGCCAGATTGAAACCAGGCCCTCAGAATTCAATCTGAGTCTCTCACATGTAGTAGGGACCCAAGTATATAGGCCATCACCTGCTGTCTTCCAAATTATGAATTAGCAGGAAGCTGGAATCAGAAGTGGAGCTGACTTGAACCCAGGCACTCTGGTATGGGATGCTGTGTCCCAAAAGGCATCTATGGTTAATGGGCATATATTCTTTTGACATGATCTCAATAGATTCCTTGCTTTCTGGTGTGACAAGATATCCCAGGTTTCTCAGCACTGTACCAAATTCCTACTTCACAACCCACCTCTATAATGAATTTTTAAATGCACCCCGCTTCAGGGTTAATGTGATACTTGTATCACCTTCTACCTTATCACAATATTAACACAAATCTAAAAATCCTGTTTGCATATTTCTAAAACACTTATTTAATCTTATACATAGCTATAATCACAGTAGAAGCTGACATTTATTTTTGTTTTACATACATATGACATTTTATCCTCAAAAAACACTCTATTATTAGCTCCCATCTTTACAAGACACAACATGACTGAGAATCAGATAATCTTGAATTTTGGCAACTATTAAAAGTCAAATCTATACCCCATGCTAAAGTTAGAGTGACAGGAAAAGAAAAAAAATAAACTTGCGAATCTAAAGATGCTACATCCCCTGCTCCTGCACCCTTTCCCTCCTACACACATATTCCTAATATAGACAAGAACTATCTCTTTTCAAAAGAATTATCCCCTGGATATATCCTGTAGGTAAAGGGCAGATTAAGAAACCTTAGCACTCCAGGCTACTATATCCTACCATAGCTGAGGCCCAGGGATAGATATAGATATATATATAGATATATATATATAAATACATATATATGTATATATATATATACATATACATATATATATATATAAATACAGACAGAGAGCTGCTAGAAAGTATAGTCCCCAGATAAGAAATCTTTCTAAATGTCCAGGGAGATCTTCTTTAAACTTAATTTTTCTCAAAAAAATTTTAAAAAGAATGCTTAAAAAAAAGTGAAATCAACTTCAAGATGCAATGACTTTGAACAGCTCTTGTTTCAACTGCTATGTAACAGGTTTTTTTTCATATAATTTGTTGAATTCTTTACTTAGTACAGAATTAGTCTTCTGTGTATAAAGTTAACTGAAAATAGATTTTAGTAAAAAATAAGACTGGGAATAAGAGAGAAAGGAGGAAGAATGGTAGGAGTGTGAGTATCATGGGAAGAATCACTATGTTCCTAAAGTTGTATTTATGAAATGCATGAAGTTTGTATTCCTTAAATAAAAGGCTTCTTTGGAGAAAAAATAAAGAAAAAAAAGAAAAGGAAAGGAAATAAAAATAGAATTCTAGTTCTGAAACTTTGCAAAATTATTTACAAACTTTAAGTACAAATATAATTTGTACTTAAAAACCCCCACTGTTCATCTTATGTCACATAAAAATCCTTTAACTGCTAGGATGCTACCTTTTATTATGAAGAAAAAAAAAAAAACCCTCTTCCTAGATATATTCTTAGTTTGGGTGCAGGTTTGTAATTTTTTTTTTTATTTCTTTATTTTTGACAGGCAGAGTGGACAGTGAGAGAGAGAGAGACAGTGAGAAAGGTCTTCCTTTTGCCGTTGGTTCACCCTCCAATGGCCGCCATGGCCGGCACGCTGCGGCCGGCGCACCACGCTGATCCGAAGCCAGGAGCCAGGTGCTTCTCCTGGTCTCCCATGGTGCAGGGCCCAAGTACTTGGGCCATCCTCCACTGCACTGCCGGGCCATAGCAGAGAGCTGGCCTGGAAGAGGGGCAACTGGGACAGAATCCGGCACCCCGACCGGGACTAGAACCCGGTGTGCCAGTGCCGCAAGGCGGAGGATTAGCCTATTGAGCCACGGCGCCGGCTCAGGTTTGTAATTAAGGCTAGAACTCATTTTAGAAATACTATATTAGCCAGTTTTTATCCATTATATGAATATAATAATTGTTTCCCTAAATCATTCTTTGTCATAGATACATTCTTTGTCATAGATAAAATACTACAAGTAATATTTTATCATCTAAATCCAACTATTAATCAGAAGGGCATGTCAAACCACACCATGTAAATACAATCAGCAAAGTCTAGACTGACAACTGCTATTGGATAAGCAATTTGGTTTCTTCAACAAGCAAACTGCAGGGGAGAGAAACAAAGACAGAAGAGGGAACTTGCAGGCTAAAGCAGACTTAGAAGACCATCAGGGATGAGAAATTAGTCTAACAGTTAAGATATCCAGCCCCCATACTGGGGTACCTGGGTTCAATACTGGGCTCCAATTCCTGACTCTGGCTTCCTACTAATGAAGACCTTGTGAGGTAGCAGTGATGGTTCAAGTAATTGGGTTCCTGCCACCCAAGTGGGAGACCCAGATTGAGTTTCTAGCTCCTGGTTTCAGCCCAGCACAGTATCAACCATTTTGGGCATTTGGGAAGTGAACCAGCAGATAGGAGCTTCTCTCTCTCCCTCTCCCTCCCTCTCTCCCTCTCTCTCTCTCTCTCTCCATCCCTCTCTCTTAATTAAATAAGACACATCAACCTATTGAAACATGTAAACCATTTTGGATCCTGATTCAAACAAACAACCTTTTAAAAGTGTGGCATGTAGGAGACAAACTAAAATTTTGAACACTTAATAGATATTTGATAATGTTAAGGAATTACCATTATTCTAAGGTATGATAACTGTATTGCAGCTATGTTACAACAAAGAGTTCTTATATTTTAGCTGTATATACACTGAAATCTATAAAGATTAAAAATGTTTGAATTTGTTTAAAAATAATTGGGGCAAAGGGACAGCAGAGATGGACATGGATGGGGCAGCCTTAATAGTGGGTTGATGGTTATTCCAGCTGGATGATAAGAAAACATAGAATTTCATTACACTACTCCCAGTTTGTGGATGTTTTAAGTTTTCCAAATAAAAGGTTTGAAAATTTTAAAATGAATAAATAGAACAGTGGAAGTTTTTAATGTACCTAATTACTATTAATCTAGTGACTATATTACCTAAATTAACAAACCTAGATATGTGGGTTAACAGAATATTTTAATAGATTTGCCCAAGTAATAACAAGACATACATGTAGAAATTTATTAATAATTCTAATGATATGAACACTGAAGATCATGGGAAGTGATAATGATAAGAGGAAAAGAAAGGAGAAGGTAAAATACTCCGTTCGTTTGCAGAGGACTTAATTGGCACAATGTCTTTGGCCTCTTCCTCATGATTTTCTTCAATTAAATACATTTATTGAGTGCTTAGTATATGAAAGGCACTAGACTTGCAGAGGCCCTTCAGGAGAGACAAAGATAAGCAAAATATAGTACCTTTGCCTTTAAAAACTTACAATTGAGTAGATACCTCCTCTCATTGATATTGATATTGAGTAGATACCTCCTCTCATTGATATTCTGTGATCTATAAAATATTTCTCCTCAGCTCTTACTGCCATATCCCAAACTTCCAGTATTAATCTACAGAGTATTTCACTCCAAAATTACCTGTTTTTTTATTATATTAATAATAAATATTTTATTATAATAAATATAATAATAAATAAATTACCTGTTTTTTATTATGTTTGGAGTTATTACACAACTCCAAAATATGACACTGTGGCATATTGAATATTTTAGGCTGAAAGGATTGAGAAAACAAGAAAAACAAAAAGCTTACTCCGACATCACCCTGCCATTCTTCCCTGAGGCAAGTCACAAAACCAAGCAAGATTTTCTAAGCTTCTCCTGAAGCAGGTCCTAACTCTCTCAAGTGAGAGATGGCCTTCCTATACCCAGAAGAAAGGAACACCATTATCTCTGAAGACACAGGGACACATTGAAGAATTTGAATAAAAAGGCCTTGCTAAGTTTCCCCTAGTTTATTATCAATAATCATCATGTTTTTTGCCCTATCATATTTCTCTACAACTGTCCATTTCATCAAACCTACCATAAAGTTTTGTACATAGGTTTAACTGTTTGTATGGGGAAGTCTTCATTTTCTTAGCAGGCTCCTGTGCCCATTAGAGCTTTATATGTAATAAATTTGTATATTTGTCTCTTTTTATTCCATCTTTTGGTAAGGGACCTCTCAGCATTTTCCTATTTTAACTTACCTTTGGTGATTCTTAAAAGGAGTTTTTAAAAAATCAGATTAAGGGGCTGGCATTGTGGCACAGCAGATTAAGCTACCGCCTTTGATACCAACATCCCATATGGGCACTGGTTTCAGTTCTGACTGCTCCACTTCTAATCCACCTCCCTGTTAATGGCCTGGGAAAAGTAACAGAAGATGGCCCAAGGGTTTGGGCCCCTAACACCTATGTGGGAGACTCAGATGAAACTCCAAACTCCTGGCTTTGGCCTGGCCCAGTGCTGCTGGCTGTTGTGGCCATCTAGGGAGTGAACCAGCAGATGGAAAGGTCTCTCTTCCCCTCTCCCTCTGTAACTCTCCCTTTCACATAAATAGGTAAATCTTTAAAAAGTTCAGATTAAATAAATTTGTCTAGTTATAAATAAACAAAACACTTCAATCCTATCAATAACTTACAGCCTGCCTCAGAGTCAGCTCCAAGAATTAAATCTAACTTGTTCCTGGTTGTCACAGTGTTTTCCTACCCTTCCTTTTTAAGTGAATCTACATATTTCCTAAATGCTTCAAATTTCACTCTCCCTGTCCTAAATCCATATCTACAGTACTTATGGGCACTCATGTTCTATAATACTTAAAGTTCTTAAGTAAAATAAACAGTGAACAAATATTAAAATATTTCTAAGTGACTGAATTCTTATAAGCTTCATTAAATGTACATTAAAAACATAGTCACAATTCCATATTCTCTACAGGGAGCTAATCTGAAAAGAAGCAGGTTTAATCAATATCAGAACATAATCATACCTGCATGGTCCTTCTTTTAGTTAATGTTACTTGAAAATTTTTCCATTCCCAGCGTTGTTCTACTATATGTGCAAAAACAACATGTCCATTTCCACAGGCTCCAGCGATCTGAGTGCCATCAACTGACCAAGCAATATTAAATATGCTGCCAGTGTTGGGTTTCTCTAAAGCATATGACCACTGGGGAAAGAAAAAAAAAGGAAAAATTTATTTATTGAAAAAAAGGAGTCTTTAAGAAATTTTAAATTAGGTATATGTTAACATATAAGATAATTTTTCAAAAGAATATTTATCTTTATTCTAAAATTATTAAAGGGGCAGGTGTTTGATATAGTGGTTAAAACATCTTCGCAAAACCTGAATCCTATCACAGCCTTGCTGCTAATTCCAGTGCCTGCTAATGTGTGTGAATAGACAGTAAGAATAAAACAATCTTTTTGACAGTTGGTATTTTATGCATTTTCTTTCATTTTTCAGGTGGATGATTAATGTATTTGACAAAATTCAGTCTCTTTCCATTTGAACCAAACAGCCTTGTTTTTTGTTGTGGTTGCCCTTGGCTGAGTTGTTTTGTTTTTTCACACTCTTTTTTTTTTTTTTAGAAATATTCATCATAGGAAACAATTAATAGAGTGAAGAGACACCCAACAGAATAGGAGAAATATTTGCAAGCTATTTACCTGACAAAGGATTAATAGTCAGAATATATCACCAGCTCAAAAAACTCAACTACAAAATAACAACGAATCCAGCTAAGATACGGGCAAAAGACCTTAACAGAGAGTTCTCAAAAGAAGAAATATAAATGGCCAATAAATATAAGAAAAAATGCTCAATGTTACTAGACATCAGGGTAATGCAAATCAAAACCAAAATGAGATATCATCTCACCCCTGTCAGAATTACACAAAAGACAGAGAGCAACAAATGCTGGTGAGGATGTGGAGAAAGGGGAATACTTAGACACTATTGGTGAGAATGTAAAATAATGCAGCCACTGAGGAAAAAAGCATGGAGATTTCTTAAAAAACTAGTAACAGACTTCCATATGATCAAGCAATGCCACTACGGATATATATTCAAAAGGATAGCTGCTCCACCACATTTATAGCAGCACTGTTCACAACAGCCATAAAAAGGAGTCACACACACACACACACACACACACACACACAAAATGGACTATTATTCAGCCATAAGCAAAGATATTTTATCATTTGCACTAAAATACTAGGAACTGGAGGACATAATATTGAGTAAAATAAGACACAGAAAGACAAATAGTGCATGTTCTCCTTCACATGTTAGAGCTAAAATTAGAAAAAGATAGGACAGGAAGGAAGGAAGGAAGGAAGGAAGGAAGGAAGGAAGGAAGGAAGGAAGGGATGTGTGTATCACTTTTGCTACAAATATACTGCCTTGAAGATTGTGGAATAGGGAGGGAGCTTACTACTCTAGTCTAGGGGAGGATACTTAAAAAAAAAAGTGGAGAGAGTGCAATCTCAGGGAAGGGTTAGGGAGAAAATGGCAGAGGAAACCACACACAAACTGGGGGGACACTGTGGACATATGTGGAGGGTGTGGACATGCACAGCTCGGGACCCCAGCAGCCAAGAGCCTCAGCACCAACTGTGGAGGGAGGTGAGAACAGACTGCAGCAGCCCAAGACACTGGGGATAAAGCTGTGGCAAGAGCCTGGCAGGCACCCAGCTTGGAGGCCTGTGGGATATAGTGTACCTGCCAACCTAGAGAGGAAAAAAGGGGGCATGTTTCTCTCTCCCCAACCACTCAGCACCGACACCCTGAAACTACCTGAGAGAGGGCAGGCATCATTTTGGACATATGTAACAGCTGTTCCAGCTCACATCTGTGTGCCCAGCAACCAGCTGAAAGAGAAAACTGATTCTGGCTGAGAGAATTAACAGGGGGCTGGGTGCTCATGACCATGGGAGCCTTGTGTGCCAGGACTGTGAAAACACTATAGCTGCATGGGAGGGTGTAGGGTGTGGCTGGGACTTTGGGCAGTCACTGTGGGCAGCTCCACATACTCGGGGATCCTGATTCCCTGGTGAGAGTCATTGCTGCAGGACCCACATTCACACCAAGGACTGCATGGGTCCTTTATGTGGTTCTTCTGGCAGTGTGGATGAAAATTGTACCCACTGGGGCTAGCATCCAGGCATTGGTCTCCTTTGAGAAAAGGAGGTGAGCATGAGAATATGCCAACAGAGTTATATTTCAATTTCTAAAAAAAAAAACAAAACATGTTGCCTCTGCCATTATTTTTCCCCAATCTATTTTTAGTGAAGGAATAATTACACCTTGCTTTCATAGTTTATGAGTATTTTGAGACTATAAAATAGTAGTAAGCTAAAATTAGCATTTCTACCTTATAAAATCAACATTAAAGAGAAATGATATATAAAATATATTTATAATACAACTATGTAAAAAATGTGTGCTCAAAGAGACAAAAACTTGAAAGGGACACAGAAAATGAAAATATTTGATTTTTCTATATATTATGATTGTAGATTTTTGTCATTATTTTTGTTACTGCTTTATTTTGTTACTGATTTTTGTCTTAAATTTCTCCAAAATACAAGTTTCTACTGCATATCTTAGTAGGCTGCTTAATATTAATTACTACTTTTGCCTTTATAATATTGTTGAGATCTTAAATTACTTCCTTAATTCTAAACAAATATTTTTGGCTTGATTTGGTACTATTAATTTTTAAAAACACAAGATGAGTAAGCAGAAAATAGAAGAAAAAAAGCAGTAATTAGAAAAGAAGTTTGTAGAACACAAAACTGGTCTGTATTCACAATGTGATATACAGCTAAAGCACTAATGCTATTTTGAGCTGCCTATAAAGAAGCACTGTGGTACTGACAAGAAAGCCAAAATCGATTGCTGTTAGTTTTTGAGAGATTTAGCAATACATTTTTCTCTAATGGCAGGGAAATCTTAAAAAATTGTGAGACTGATTAGTTTGGTTTGGTCTCTGAACAAACATTACTGGATCTTCACAAACATCGAGAACTTTCATAAACATCCAGGACTTTGATGGTGTTCTGTGACTAGTCAAATTTTCCCCCTAGAGTCATCTCCTGGGTAATAGTAGGCTATCTTTTCACTCTCTCACCCAAAATCTGCTCTCTGGTAGATAAATCACTTAGAAAAGGGCCTGATAAGAACAAGTTTAATGTGTTACTTTCATGATAATATTTTAAGACATAATTTCTTAATAAAGCTAATGGGGGCCGGTGCCTCGGCTCACTAGGCTAATCCTCCACCTAGCGGTGCCGGCACACGGGGTTCTAGTCCCGGTCGGGGCACCGGATTCTTTCCCGGTTGCCCCTCTTCCAGGCCAGCCCTCTGCTGTGGCCAGGGAGTGCAGTGGAGGATGGCCCAAGTCCTTGGGCCCTGCACCCCATGGGAGACCAGGAGAAGCACCTGGCTTCTGCCTTCGGATCAGTGCGGTGCGCCAGCCACAGCGCGCCAGCCGTGGTGGCCATTAGAGGGTGAACCAACGGCAAAAAGGAAGACCTTTCTCTCTGTTTCTCTCTCTCTCACTGTCCACTCTGCCTGTCCAAAAAAAAAAAAAAAAAAGCTAATGGGAGAAATGTTCTCATCCATAAGAAGTTAGTGAAATTGTTCCCCAGGACATTCTATCCACATAGCTCATTGCTAAGATTGTTCCTGAACTGCAGTTACAAAAATACAGTTTATATTAGTGTTCTATTACTGTGAGGACAAATTACCACAAATTTAGAGGTCTAAAACAACACAAATTTATTATTTTTACAGTTTTCTACTCACAGGTGATCCAACATGAGCTTCACTAAGCTAAAATCAAAGTACTGCCAGGGCTGTGTTCTCTTCTGGAAGCTTAGAGCAAAGGTCTGTTTCCTTAACCATTAAAGTTGTCAGCAGAATCCATTTTCTTGTAGCTGTGGAACTGAGGTCCTGTTTCCTTACTGGCCATTTGTAGCTTCAACCATCTGCATTTCTTGGCTTGTAGTCCCCTTTCTCTATCTTTAAAGCCAGCAACATTGGGTAGAGCTGCTCTTTGAATTTCTCCTCCTTCTTCATCCTCTAACCCAGATGGTAAAGGTTCTCCAATTTTAAAGACCCACATAATAATCCAGGATAATCTTACCAAATAAAGGTCCATATCCTTAATCACATACACAAAATTCCTTTTGGCTTTTAAGATAACATATTAATAGGTAGTAGTGATTAAGGAATGGGTACCTTTTGAGGGCCTATTATTTAGCAGACCAAAAAAAACCATATAAGGAAAAATAAAGTCAATCTGGGAGGGTTTTTTTAATTTAACTTTTTTATTATTATTATTATTTTTTTTTTTTTGACAGGCAGAGTGGACAGTGAGTGAGAGAGAGAGACAGAGAAAGGTCTTCCTTTACCGTTGGTTCACCCTCTAATGGCCGCTGCGGCTGGTGCACTGCAGCCAGCGCACCGCGCTGATCCAAAGCCAGGAGCCAGGTGCTTTTCCTGGTCTCCCATTGCAGGTGCAGGGCCCAAGGACTTGGGCCATCCTCCACTGCACTCCCAGTCCATAGCAGAAAGCCAAACTGGAAGAGGGGCAACCGGGACAGAATCTGGCGCCCCGACCAGGACTAGAACCTGGTGTGCCAGTGCCGCAGGCGGAGAATTAGCCTATTGAGCCGCAGCGCCAGCCAATCTGGGAGTTTTAAAAGCTGGTTTTTTTTAACTTAATTTTATTTGAAAGGAAGACACAGACACAGAGAAGTAGAGGGAGAGAGGTTGGGAGAGAAAGAGAAAGATCTTCCATCTCCTAGTTTACGCCCCACATGCCAAGGCTACGCCAAGCTGAAGTCAAGAGCCGGGAACTCAATCCAGGTCACCCACAAGGGTGGCAGGGACCCAAATATCTTAGCCATCACCTGCTGCCTCTCAGGGTAAGCATTAGCAGGAAACTGGAATCAGGAACAGAGCCAGTGCTCAAACCCAGGTACGCTGATAATGGATGCAAGTGTCCCCAGCAGCAGCAGCTTAACTGCTGTGCTCAATGCCTGCATCACTTATCTTTTATTCTTTTTAAGATTGAGATATGAGCATAAACATATGAAACAATATTCTTACCACTTTTAATAGTTTGAGGTTTGTGGCTTTAGCTTCCAAAGACTTAT